CCTCGGACACCAGGCAAGGATTCATATTTTCCCATACAGCCTTCCTCACTTTGGTCTGAAAAAGGATGTCAGTTTTGCCTTTACTACCAAAATGTACCCTGTAGTGCGGAAGGAAACAGTCTCAGAAGCAAAGTTCACAATTATCATTTTCAAAAACAATGATGAAAAGTGGGCTGCAAGAAAAAAAATTATGCGGTTAAAACCTCATCTGTCCACTTCTCTGCAATTTCACCATCTCTTATTTCCACTGCAGCTACATACTTTGGTAAACGCCTGTGAATCAAACAGTCAACGTAATTTCTAGCAACACGTAGCTCTTCAGATCTGGATCTTAATATCTTTAAAAAAAAACGAAATAAACAGGTAACAGAAACCGGAGCAAAACCTCTAAAACGCTAATTAACCTCATCAAAAACTCCATCGTCACACTGGAGGAATGCTCCTAAATTTTCTGTAACATGTCCTAAATCATACTCTTTTCCATCGTCACCAATAAATTTTATGAAACGGGCAGCTGCCTTGAACGCTTGGACAGTTCTGCAAGGATTGTTTCGTGAAGTATGCAGACGAATTAAGCTTCCATGAATGAGATGGGCCAAATTTGTACATTAGAATTAAAGCCACTATCTTTTCTTGGGAAAATAAAGTGATGAGCAAAAAAGTTAATTCAAAGTGGAAGTCAAGGTCGGCAATAAAGAATTACAGATACTCGCAGGCGCATACTGCTTTTTGGTTGTAAACTGAGCTGTGCAGATGGTATCTACTTTCGGCAACACTCTGTAGTTCGTTGAAAACTTTATACGCATAACAAAGTCTTAAACATTTGTTCCCAAACTTATCAGCTGCTTCCAACGGCATCGCCCCATTAATTATCCTTCGAACGGTATTCTGTATAAGAGGTATATTGTCACTAACAAAGTGACTTACAGTTCATGAGACTAAATCCAAAAATAAACTTGGGCAAAAGTTTAAACTGGAAAACCAAAAATGTGAACAGTAATGTAATCCGTGCCTACCAGGTTCATGGCGAGACCCATACCTGTAAAGGTTGCATCTCGTAATATGTAATCATACTTATCAACATCAAAAGAGTCGTTATTATTGCATATGATATCGTACAAATATGACTTTTCTGCAGGACGGCCTTTGCAAATCCAATGACCATTCTCGTTCTGAAAATGACCACTTCGTAAATTTTATCAGAAGTCATATAATCTCAGTCACGCTTACTAAAATAACGAAACCATAAGAAGATCTCAGATGCAGTTCTGGTTTTCCCAAAACCCCCCACAAAAACATAAATCAAGGAACAAAAACGAATTAGAAGCTCACTTTGCTTCAGGTCTACTAAAAAACGTTAAACTCAGCCCAGACATCTGTATCTGGATGCACTGTGGCAAATCTAATCATGTCAGGAATATTCATTAATTCAATAACTATGTCTATGATTGATATAAAAACAATCATACAAATTTCTTTTTTGGAGGAGATATTAACTCTTCAATGAAAATATAGTCTTCAGGCTCTAAAAAATCATCGAGTTCTTTCTTCAGCTTGCTGTTCGAGCATATCCTTCTAAATAATTGCACTGTCGCCTCCTCATGCTGAAAAAGAAAAGTACCACCTGTCTGGCAGATGTATAACTCTGTACGCTGGTATTTCAAATAGTAAACAGAGCTTTAGGTTCACCTTCCAGGAGTTTCTGCGATCCAAACTTCTCAGGAACCCCTCAAAAAGATGACAGAAAGGTCCGTGACCTATAAAAGTTTCTCACTTGAAAATGACCTAACCCTCCTAACCACAAATCAAGACATGAGGTGATCGACTTTGAACGCTACTGAAAACTTCATTTGCAGATCATAATCAAAAAAAGTAAGCAAATTCAAAAACGTCAAAACATATAAAACAGGAAAATAAAGGAACCAGCTACCGATGTCGTGGCACAGCCCTGCAATTGCTACACAAAGTTGGTCCCTTGAACTAATATTCAAATTCAGTCTATCAGCCAGCGATTTCACAAAAGTGCTGGCGAGATGGTACACTCTAAAAAAACAAGATTAAGTGGTCTCGTTTTAAAAAGGTGCATAATATAAGCGAGGAAACTCCGAAAAAGACACTCAAATTATCTAGCTTCCAAATAATAAATTTTAAAAAACTTTAATGGAAACGGCTCGACTGATGCGACCTCTCAAGAGAGTTCTGTGAACTACTAGTGCTTTTAATGAAATCAAGTAGAAATCGAGTAAGAACGCGCAAACCCTAGACAATGGGTAAACCGTGAATGTTCAGCACCGGGGAAAACAAATGCCAAAACACCAGTCTGCTTGAGCCGCCGTAGTCGCTGAAACTCACTGGTATCTATAATCAAGTTCAATGGGTAGTACAGTGGTATTGTGCCATATATCGCGTCGCTTACTTCGCGTAGCTGCAAAAAAAAAAAAAATTATATGCAAGTGCAACGGTTAGATATTAATGCTGAGAAAAAAAAACTAAGCGGACAAGTTCTCAAAGCCACTTTACCCGAAACTCGTCTGCCTTTGGTGGCCAACTTCTTTTTCCCGCAGCGGACGACAGTTTGCTATTCATCGCGTAACCGAAATCAAGCGGTTTGTTTTATCTAGTCTGAACAATGAGGGCAAGTTTAAACTGAAATCTTCTAAATTCATAAAAAAGCGACATACAATTCGCGAAATAGGTGGTAACTGAAAACCACATGTGTTCTAACTAGACTGGTTCAGATATGAAGTAAATATTTGGTCGCATTCCTCTTTTATTCCAGCTGCTTTATAACACTAAGACAAGAGATAAAAGCCATTCTAATAAATAAATGAATTCAGTAGTCCCCAAGCGTCCACTACAGAGCATCCATTTGATAAGCACTGTTCAAAAAGACCTTTATGTCGGAATTTACTTTCAAACTAATCAACAGACCATTTTTGTTGACATGCGACAAAATCACCAAATCCACATCAAAGGATTACTGTGCAGTTGCACATGTCTGAAAGCGAAATGGGCGCATTATATCAACTGCAGAAAGAATTTTTGAAGTTCCAATATGGAACTCCATATACACAGCAACGGCCACTACTGCCATCCTTTTTGGTACGTTCATGACATCTTCTGGCTGATTCTTCTACTCATTTTAGATATTGTCAATTACCTTATCTGCTTACTCCTTTGTCGGGTGTAATACAGAGTATAACAACAAGCAGTTACTCCAACTGTAACAAAAGTTTCTAGGGGAATTTTATTGTGTAAAAACCGGTTCTCGTTATTTGACTTTAACTTTTTTGTCCAGCAACATCAGCATTCACCAATTGACCGTTTCCAGCCAATGCTAAAACATCTTGTAAATCAAATCAGTGGATGTTTCCGTCGTCAACTGCAGTGACTAGTTATTGCTTTCTAAGCGATCAAAGCACTAAGAGGTTCTAACAAAGAACTACAAGTTCCGCCATATTGTCGTCATAGTTTAAATTTAATTTACTTTCAATGTTTTCAAATTGCGGTATAAATTTGAAGATCTGAAGTCGTGCACTTAAAGACACTTTGGGTTTTGCACTTTATAGATTTGCAAGAGGTTGCTGACATCTTTAAAACTCGTATTTTACCGCAATGAGAACTGACCAGGTAATTCAAAACGATTTGAAAGATCGACAGAAAATTAATGAGGATGATGTGTTGTTTATCATTTCTCGAACATAACTTTAAACAATTCAAACTTTACTTCTCCGTATAAAGCCATCATTTTCAAAGATGAATGAAATGTAAAAAATTCTAAAGACCAGAGAAAGAAGGAATGATGCAAAGACTAAAATAAATGTACTAATTAAACAACTGCAATAAACCCAAGTCTGGGTAGTTCTGCAAGAAGGAAATCTAATAACAAAGATATACTTTTAACAAAAATTAGTTCTGTGGTATCAACTTCTTTAAAAAACCAACCAGTAAAAAAAAAAACTGCACTGCAAAACCTGTGACGGTCGTAAATTAAATCTGTAACCTTGAATTTTTTTCAACAGTTAGTTTTGAAGCAGTAACTGTTCCATCTAAGACGGTTTGTTGTTACTGCGCGGGAATCTTATAACCAGTGTAAATTTTAAAATCATTCACTTTATTAGTAGCGGTAACTTACATCCCGCACAGCAGTTATTCGAGGTACCGAAATTAGCCTGGCGCAAGACTGGCAGACTCAGAAGTCGCAGAAGAGAGGAATTTTTATATTCTTTAGATATCTGCTTATTTAGGTCGGTTCCAGCACACTGTGATCGCTTGGAGCTCTAGTCATCGGCATTCGATTTCTGCGGTAAGCTCAACGAATTGTAAGTGGAACTTATAAAAAATTGTGGAAAGTAAATGTCATAATTGAAATATCTGTATTGCGGATGAGTTTGGGATACTGTGACTTTTTAGGACAATCGTTAATTTCACTGAGTAAACAGTTACACGTTTTAAATATTAAAAAAAAATTAGCATATAATAACTCCAAGTCTAAGAATCTAGGCAGTTCTTATCCTTCAAACCACTTATTTTATGGCTGTTACAGAAGTCTACCAAACGAAAGGAAAGCATTGTAAGCAGACAGTAATTTTATTACTCGTGCGGAATTTCTCAATGATACCCTTAAATTAGACAATAATTCCTCATCAACACTGTTGATAATTCTGCAAACCGATCAGAGAAACAGAAAATGTAGAGAATGATTGAAGAGAAAGTTTGAGATTAGAACTTTT